CAGGGCGACGACCGAACGTCAAGGCAAGCGGTTGCCAGATGACGTTGGCCCAGCCAAAGAATAGGTACTGTACACCAACACCCTGATTCAGCGTAGACAAGCTGATACCGGTGTCCTCCTCGATAACCAAAAGGGCAGCCGAGAGTGCCGTAGTGAGCACATCGGCCGAGAAAACTGCGATCATGAGAACAATAGCGCAGAGGAGTTTGCGGTTCTTTGACCAGTTGAGCGGGTCCTCAGGGTCGCGCGTAGGCTGCGGGATCAGGACGATGTCCTTGTGGCCAGCCTCGTGCTTGACATTGAGAGTTCCTTGCAAGTCAACCTGGTGAACGGTACCCGGGATGACCTCTTCGTTGATTTCGGGGACCTTCATATGTGCGGTAGAAGCGACGATTCAATGGAAAGCGCGATTGAAGTATCAAGCAGATGCGGACACGCATGTCCTTTTATAATTCAACCGCGATGCTATCAGTCGCCAAACCTTACTTACTATCATGATAGCAGTATCGGAGATCCAATCGTGTTTGACGAAGTATCGATAATAGAAGAAAAAAGGCAATAAGATGCCCATTGCTGTAACCGGCAGGAAGATAAGCAGGGGGGAAACAACATCCTATTTGGGAAACTGCGGCGTGAACTTAATTAATTTTCTTACTCTTTTAGGCGTGTAGTTCGCCCATGCAAAGTTAAACTTCCATCTACGCGACCTTTTATCGGTCTGCGTCAGGTACAGCTGTAGGTGTCTTGAAGCTGGTACATCAGCTTCAAGTTTAGCGATCATTTCCTGATTGCCCACTGACTTAATTTCTTTCATAGAGTTTTAAGTCGATCGGGTGGAGGATTTGCGTTCTTTTCTTTATCTCTTATCTTAAAATCTTATGTCCTCTCATTTCTCAGGATCGCAACAACTTCCTCGATCTTCTCTTTTCAGGCTGTAGGTCCTTCAATTGGTCTCTATACGTTTCAGGCAGTATCTCCGATAAAGCAGACGATGTACAGGTGGGTCGAGGCCGCATAATTCACCAAAAATAAAGTTATATAGTTACAGATCCGCGTGGAGTTTGCGGGGATTGCCGAAATTTGTATTTTCCTGGCAGCCGCAGTTGTTTCAAATGCTAAGACCTGGCGTATGGCTTCTATCTACGCGTATAGCACAAAGCTTGATAGACACAAGTACATGTATCCGACATCACTAAGCGTGTGCGCCACCAATGGCACAGCAGCTCTGATTAGTTCAAATCTCACAACCCAGCGCTTCTACATGCAAATTCTATTACGCAAACAGCCTACGCGCGTACAGAGAGTCCTTCACTGGTACAGGAAGATAAGTCTATTATATAATTGCGCAAGCAGCACATTGAATCCCCGACATGACTCTTCTAGACGTCCATTGAAAAGAATAATCTGATGCGTTTTCACGCTGCCTAATTAAGGTTCAGAAGTAGCCAACAAGATGTGAACTTGCTCTATTCTAGTTGAATTTTTACCTTTTTAGACTTAAAAATAGGTCCAAGCCATCTGTTCAATCCCACCGGATATAGTCCATACAGAGCTAGGACTGGACGAAAAGGGCTGATTGTTCGACTTTTTCTGACTAGAATGCAACAGGAACATACATTATAACAATATTGCTATGTACACAGGTCGATATTTCCCTGTTTGGGGCTTGTATAATGCGGCAGCGCGGTTACTAAGTTAGCTCACCTGTTAACTCTAATACGTCAATCCCACCGAGTCACCGAATCACAGGTTCGGATAGCTAGTACTTTGGTCAGGCTTAACTCTCACGCGACAAGGACGCCTCATTCTATTTTCATTTTATATCAGACAAATCGAGATAAAATAGCAATATGTCTTCCGATACGCAGTGAACTGAACAGGCCATTTAGTCGATGATAAGCGGCTTTCTATTAGCTGTATGTTTGTATGTGCGTGGCTATGATGACATTCTAGCGCAAGAACGACAACAGCGTGTAGTGCGAGCTCTAAAGAATGAGAAACTTGCGAGATTGAGCCGTTTAGCAGCAGCGAATCCGATGCCGAAAGCCCTGCGCGTTGGCCTTTTACTTTTTTCTTTTGGCTTTCTATCTCTGCTATTTTTCGTAGATTCATTCGGGAAATCCAAATTTTGCCGCCGGCAACGTTCAAAACAGAAACTCTATGTCGATGAAAGTTCATGCCACTGAATGTTTAAGACAATTAGGGTGCGATCCAGTAGTAATTGCTCTTCGTAGGACAAGATGGGGGTAACAATAGGCCAGGATACCAGGACGAAAAAGGTCTGGCGCTGATACAGTTAGGACGTGTTGTGAGCGGGCGGGTCGGTCGTTGCAGGTACAGAAGATCGCGGTTTCGTAGCATTGCACCGTGAAAGGTGAACTTGGCAGCAGTTTAGCTCAGCGTTTTAGTTGTTTTTATTGCTTCAGCTTGTTAGTTAGCTCTATCTCAACATATCTACTGCACCGAATCTGAAAATTAGAGGAAACCGAAACCGAATACAGTCGATTGTTGAGGGTGTTCTTAGTGTTACTGATCGCGGTAATAGTATTCGAGTACAACACAGCGATACGTAGTCACTGATACTAAACTGCGTACATTGTACACAGTTGCTGCTTGCCAAAGCATAAATATTATGTCCATAGGTATCTCATTGCCAAATCGAGTATTAGAAAGACTGAACTAGATCCCCAGACGTTGTGATTGGTCAGCCTCACTACCTAGCCACCGATAAGATTACCAATAGAGTTAATAGATAAGACTGTGATGCACTAAGAGTGGTCCAACGGAACTCAATTCACACTTACACTCTACCCGTAGCTTGCTCCGCTTGGCTAAGCAAGTAACCCAAAATGGAAATTTGGAACGCTTAGATTGCTACACTCTGCCTGTATTGGCAGTTATTACCCTCGATCGCTGCTCTGCTCTGCATCTGCCTATATATATACCGCACATAAATTTCGCAGCTCTTTTTCTCGCAACATTTAGCTCTGCTCCAAAATGGCCACCGCTTACGTTAACGCAAAGGTATACACCGTCGACCCCTCCAAGCCCTGGGCTGAAGCCTTCCTAGTAAAGGAAGACGGCACTTTCGGCGAGGTGGGCACCACCGCCGAAATATCCGCTAAAGCTCCTGCAAACATCGTCGATCTCAAGGGACAGTTCGTCATGCCCGGAATGCACGACGCCCACTGCCACTTGCTCATTGCCTCTCAGGAGAAGCTGTTCGAAGCTAAACTTGGCCTCGATGCCGGTCCAAAAGAGGTTGTGGAACGCTTCAAGGCTTACGCTGGCTCCTGCAACCATCTCGAAACTGTCGGCAACTGGCTTATCGGCAATTTCTACCACTACGCCAACTTCCCCGACGAGAAACCTGACCGTGAGTTCCTCGACAAGGCCTTTGGCGACCAGCCGGTCGTGATCCGTGAATACACCACTCACAACATCTTCGCCAACACCGCCGCCCTCAAGGCTGCCGGTTACGACGTCGACAACCCGCCAGATGACCCCTGGGACGGCTACTACGTCCGCCGCCCTGACGGATCTATCACCGGTGAGCTCGTAGAGGGTGCCGCCAAGAACATGTGGGCTGCTATCCCTAAGGGTACCCCGGAGTCCCACCTTGAGGCCTTGGAGTACGGCGTCAAGATGGCTAACCGTTTCGGTTTCACTGCTGTGCAGGAAGCCTCCGCTAACGCCGTCTATTTGGAAGCAGCTAAGGCTCTCGACGAGGCAGGAAAAATGACTATCAATCTTGACGCCCACGTCGTTTACTGGGGATGGGCTTTCTCTCAGGAGATCCCCGATACTCTCATCAAGTCGATCAACAACGCCCACAAATACGCCACCAAGCACTTCAACCCCAATATGGTCAAGTTCTGGCTCGATGGTGTCCCATGGCACCCTCATCTCACTCACTGCCCACTCGACGCCGAGGAGCCTGAAAAGCCCGACTACAAAAAGATCCTCGTCCCTCTCCAAGTCTTCGACATGGCTATTGACCGTCTCGACAAGGAAGGCCGCACTTGCAAGGTCCACTGCTGCGGACAAGGATCTGCTCGTCATGCGCTAGATACTTTTGAAAAGATCCGCGCTAAGCGTCCCAATGGTGTTCGCCACGAGATCGCCCACAATATGGACGTCCACCCTGACGACTTCAAGCGCTACAAGGAGCTTGGAATCACCGCTGAAATGTCCCCTGCCGTATGGCACGATAAGGACTACCAGCCCGAATACAACCCCATGTCTGTCTATCCTTTTACCGGTTTGCGCGACGCAGGTGCTCTTCTCACTATCGGCTCCGACTGGGTATTCGCTCCTGAGACTCCTAACATCTTCCCTGCGCTCCAGGCTTTGCTTGAAGGACGCAAGGGCTGGGAAATGACCCGCGAGCAAATCCTCAAGATCGTCACAATCGATGGTGCTTTTGCCGTTGGTCGCGATAAAGATGAAGGCTCAATTGAGCCCGGAAAGCTTGCTAACTTCATCATCTTGGATCGCGACATGACATCCGCCGAGGAGATTGCTACCACCATTGTCAAGAAGACTTTCTTTGAAGGAAAGGAGGTCTATGACTATGATTCCGATGAGCTCAAGCACTTCCAGGGCCGTTCTGGTTGAGCCATTTATCTTATATAAATCTGTGTAACCTATAAATTTATAACTGCATGTCTTTGTATAAATTGTATAACGGATACAGAAGACGCTTGAAATGCCGCAGCGCTACACATTATATTAATGATAAGGCCTCTGGCTACTTATATAGCTATCTAGCAATTTTTTGATGGAACCTTGGCGGATCAGTAGCTGCGTGCGAGACCTTGGCGGATCATACTGCTGAATGTGAACTGCCTAGATAGGCAAAGATATGCATACTGCGAGCTGTCAATGATGCCAACAGCCTCTTAAGGCATCACTAAACCAAACTAAACAATTAGATGAATTAAAAAAAGCTGCTCAAGTACACATGAAGCGTTTTCTTGAACCAAAAATAGAAGCATGATCTCCCACGCAGGGGCTCGAACCCTGGACATTTCGGTGGCCTTAAGTATCTTAAAAGCCGAACGCTCTACCGACTGAGCTACGCGGGACCCTAACCCTGCTTCACAGATCAGTTACCTGTCTGTTTACGAAGACTGTAGATGTCATGAGAAATATAAGCTGAAGATATTGCATGATGTTTAATCGAATTTCTGTGCACTTGCGCAATCAGCAGCGAATGAGGGACTAAGGGAGCTATAGATAACAGAAAAATGCGTTACTGAATGCTTTTGCCTTATAGTGTATGTATTAAGGAATAGCAGAAAGGAGTGCTGCGGGAAGCTGGCGATAGTCTCGAGAGGGGAGAGTAGGGCCAGAGAAACCACGACTGGGAACCTAACACCCGACAAAGAGACAGAATGGCAATCAAGTACCTAATACTGTTCTCTAGACAAGGGAAAGTGAGGCTTGCGAAATGGTTTGTTGTTATGTCGCAGAAAGAGAAGAATAAGACGGCGCGTGAAGTGGCGATGCTGGTGCTCGGAAGGAAGGCGAAGATGTGCAACTTCGTTGAGTACAAAGACACGAAAGTAGTGTACAGGCGGTATGCTTCGCTGTATTTTGCAGTGGGCGTTGACAATTCCGACAACGAGTTTGCTACATTAGAAATAATCCATCGATACGTGGAGCAGATGGATAAGTATTTCGGCAATGTATGTGAGCTAGATATCATATTCAACTTCCACAGAGCATACTATATCCTCGACGAGCTGCTAATTGCCGGCGAGCTAGTTGAGGTTTCCAAACGAGATGCATTAAGACGAATTGCTAAACAGGACCAACTAGAAGATGTCGAAGGCGAAGAAGAAGGGTTGTCTAGGTTTGGCTTCTAACGGATACAAAAGGGGGAAGAAAAAAGAGTAGTTTATATTCGTAAAGAGGAGACTGATTCGTGTAAAAGCGGCTGACACAGCAAATGCTGATGTAACACGTTCAACGCCTTCAGTTCCTCGTCTTCTCGGATGACACATGAAATGTTAATTTCACTAGCACCTTGAGATATCATCTCTAAATTTACACCTGCATCGCCCAGCGTCGTAAACATGCGGCCAGCAATACCTAACAATTGTTTCATCTGCTTTCCCACAAGAGACACAATACACATTTTCCGAATAACGTCCACCTGTCCGAGCTTGCGCAGACTTTGAACTGCTTCATGAAAATCCTGGTACTCGGAATCTGAATGAAGCGCCATAGAGACGTGTACTTCTGATGTAGAGATCAAATCCACAACCAAACAGTGCTTATCCATTGTAGCAAAAATAGATGCAAGGAACCCGTGAGACAAAGTGCGCTTGTTGCTGTGGACATTAATTACTGTTATGTTGTGTTTCGTAGTAACAGCAGTAGGCTGTTTGCTGCTTGTCTGATTGAAAAAGCCGCTTGCTATTCTGCTGAGCGCTGTTGGCGGGTGGGGCGGCGTCTCTTCGCCGTGCCGCGACTCGTTATCAGGGAAAATGACGGTACCGTTACCGGATGGGTTTTCGACGTTCATGATTCTGATAGGGATCCTGTGTCGGATGACCTGCTCCATGGTGAATGGATGGATGACCTCCGACCCGTAGTAGGTCAGTTCAGACGCTTCTTCTGGGGTGATGGTGGACAGAAGTCGAGCGGTCGGCACTTTGCGGGGGTCGGCAGTAAATATACCATCGACCTCTTTCCAGACTTGGAGTTCACTTGCCTGCAGCCCGGATGCTGTCAAGGCAGCGCAGAGGTCCGTGTAACCTCTTCCCACAGCGTTCAACAAAGATCCCGGGACGAGGCCGAAATAGCCCGTAATGACAGGCACTTCGCCGTTAGGACACATTTCGTTGACGAGGTCAGCGATTCTGGTAGATATTGTGTCATAGAAGCTTTGAGAGAGTCCTTCGTCCGATGATTTGTGGTCGGAGGGGACTATTCTATCGAGGTTAATAAACTCCGCCGGAATGCCGTAGTCGCGCAGCAGCGCTGTCATGTAGAGACAGCTGAGCTTTTCGCCCACGCCCATGACATTGTCTCTAGTACGTGCCGAGATTTCATCGATAACTTGCGCGGCATTCAGTATCTTATTTAGTGAATCGCACTGAGAGTTGATTTCCACTTCCAGTTGTGAGCGTATCTGCTGGTCTTTAACGTCTCGTTTGGCGGCCGCTAGGTGGTCTAGCCGGACAGCCTCTACGAGCTGTGTGTGTGCAGGTGACTCATCTTCCTGTAACTGAGAGGGAGGGGCCTGCAGACAGAGATCTGTGGCCCGTAATAGGCGACTAGTAGTGCCCTCTGCCTTGGTATTAGTGCTTCGAGCCGAGCATACTACTGCCACTCTATAGTCTTTGGAGTACACCGAGACGATGTTCTCGACAATACCGATGGCACTTTTTCCAATACTAGTGCCGCCGTATTTCTGCACAACCCAGGGTTTCAACTGATTATCTAGCGCTGTCATATCACACAGACGATCTGGATTTGGAGGTTTTGGTGGGAGCAGAGTTTTTAGTCGGGTTGGGTCCAGGTGTATAGTGTCCCTTATGAGGCAACACCCACCTCTGATGGCGTTATAAGCTTCAGTGGGCCATCTGCCCGGCCCACCTATAACAGATCAATCAATTAAGATTGAAAATGAAAAATCAAAGACTGATTCTTCGGCGAAGATACCAGAGGATTTAGTCGTAACTGAGATCTAAATCTGGCGCCTGCGGCTGTGCTTTGTTTGCCCAGTACTGTCGCCGGGCCCCTATACTGAGTGTCGATTTGGTTCTTGATCCAGCGTCGTCGCTTTCGTCGACGTTCTCCACAATAAGACCGTTTTCGTCGCTATCCGACTCGATTTCAATATAGTCTTCTACTGTGGACGAAGGACCAACCTCTGCGTCTTCCTCATCTAATGCATCAATCTCCTCTAGGTCCTCAGCGTTCAGTGACGCTGGGCTGGCGGGACTTGTAGAGCTTGCGGACTGTCTGAGATCGTCAGGGTTGAGCACTTCTTGCAGTAGAGATGTCGTTTCACCGTAGGTTGATTCGCCACGGCCAAGCATGGCGCATCGGATCGACAGGACGTTGTACAGCTCGCGGAAGAAATATTCCACGTATATCATTTTGTGTGAGCTGCGGGCGACGTTGTTGTGTATATCGAGTGGGTCGCGTATCACGAGCCGCGAGGGCATGTTGTTTCCCTTTCCGCGGCTGACGTATTCGATGTTAGATATTTCGTACTTTTTGGGCGTGAATGCTACCGCGCCAGAGGAGTGGCACGCTATAGACGTCGCATTGTAATTGAACTTGATCCCGTAAAGCTCGCAGAACTCAATTAAGAGCACACCGAGGTTCTCCATAGGGTCTATCTTTCCTTTCTGGTAGAGCGGATGCTGGCGCAGGAATGCCATCATCATGCACAGTAGTGAGAACGAGCCCAGTCCGCCTTGGTACACTTCGTTTAGTCCGCGCTGCCGTAGAAGCGTTTTCATTACAATTGTGAGATGCCGCAGTCCCGGAGTTATACGTATCCACTCTTTAACAACAGCAGTCGAACTCACACCCGAGTTTATATCCAGCGAGACGTCCACCGGAATGTGTGACTGCTTGTCGACGAACTTGATGATCGGAACCCTTGCGTGACTGATCACATTTATAGACTTGCAATTTCCTTTCTTCGTCAGTGCGTTTGCAAGTGTTTTTAGCCACGACCCGCGTTTCAGCTTTGTTTGGTGCATAAACACCACCAAATCAATGTCACTCTCGGGCAAGTATAGTCCTGCACCGTATGATCCGAATACCTGCACAGTCGCCGACGGCCACAGCTCCTTGACACAGTCCTTGACGTCTTTAATTATTCTCTCGCGTACAGCTATGTCTTCCTCGGTCGGCGAAATGTACTCGACAAAGTCTAGAATCTCTTTTGTGAGAATGTCTATACCGCGTCCATAGTAGGGCTCATTGTCCTTTTTCCACGGGGGTACTGATTCCTCCACGCGCGCGAACTTAGCCCGCCGCTCAGCGTCATCAGAATCACTCAATCTCCGTTTCGAATGCGTCTCATCTTTGTCTGACTCGAATCCGATGTAATCTTCGTCCATCCTTCTAATTGTGTGATGGAAAAAATCGGTCAAAGAATGAAGGTTTGGGAGATGGGCGTTAGGTGGATCTACATACTAAAAGTGTACAAATGAGCATCACTCTTCAAGTAAGAGGGCGTCTTTATAACTCGTCATGGTCAGCTTTATCGCCTGAAACATTACAGGCCAATGGACTCATAGCCTTAATTGCATAGAAACACTTCTCGGGCTCGTGCACTGACAAGATCTTGTTCTCGGGCCCGCACGAGTACGTAACTTCAACACTTCTCGCTGGACCGTTCCAGCACTTCGCACCGTCTTCGTACCTGAATTTGAAACCCTCGTTGTTGCCCTTGAAGCTACCAAGCGACGTAGATGACCTGCTAGATTTGCCAGTTTGCGAGGCTGATCCCGTGATGCAGATCTCATACTCGTACTCTCCCATATCGCTGCTAAAACATATGCCTTCCAGGGCCAAAAACAAGTCGTCTGGACCAGTATTTCGGTCTTCTAATTTTGTGCTCAGATCGTCAACAATAGTCTGAGCTTTCTTAACGGCCTCTTCTGCAGACTCCACTTGTCGGTTCTTTTTTGCAGATTTCTTGCTCTTGTTCGCAGTTGTCTCGTCTCCCGGTAAGATCCCGTTTTTCTCTAGAACCTCGCGTAATTTCCGCTTCAGTCCGACAAGTAACGAGTTGCTGCCAGAACGGTAATCGGAACGACTTAAATCAAGCAGCAAATCCTGAAGCTCAGCTCCAATGGCTTCCGGGGACTCTTCCTCGGCCGCATCTGCAGGGAATGATCGGCGGTACGCCTTCAGCCCCGAGAGAACTTTGCTGCGCACATCTGCAGCGGTCTCTCCTTCAGCTTCTGAAGGTTCCTGCTCGAGATTGTTCAACATCGACTCTAGCATCGTCACGCGATCCCGGTATTTTTCCAGCAGAGACACAGCGCGACCAACAGCAGCGGTTACCGACTCCTCGTCCACAACGTCACCATTGGCCTCTATGCGTGCCTGCTCAAGGGCTACATTAGCAGTGAGCAGTTTCTGGTTAGCTTTGGCCAGTTGCTGCTGCAAGTCGGTTTTAAGTATTTTGGCCTTGTTGAGCCATTGCTGCTTGATCAGACCGCCTCGTCTTTGTCTGTCACGTTCGGCAGCCTGATCAACTTTGTACTGTTTCGCCATCTCTGCACATTTATTTGGGCAGGATACAAGGCCCTTCCATTCGTCTGAACCATCGCAACAATATTCGTAATCACATACACCGTCGTTAACACGTGAAGCAGGCATATCCCTTGGAATATGACCCAGATTCTCGCAATGGAACACCGCCAACGATCTGCCAGAACATGCAGACGTTCCGGGCTCGTCCGAGCCGTCCGGACAATCGCAGTAGTCGTCATTGATCCTGTCCAGGGGGATGCGTACCTGTGGAGCGCTTAGACAGGCCCATAATCCATCTTCGTCTGGTTTGTATCGTGCGAGGTTTTCGTCGGCAACGCCTCTGATTTTTGTGGCAATTACAGTGCTAGCAACGACAAATGCAAGCAAATTTCGCATATTGAAACTTTTTTCCAAGCAAATCTGAGGTCTGCAGCAGGTAATGTGATATATTTAGACTTGCTGTGCTGTCAAAGTTCGCAGCAAACACCTTAACGCTCCCAGCGGGCAGAAACCCCTTCTCGACCTGGAAAGTACGGGGAAGTGCAAGACAGACCGACGACAAAGCTGCAGTAACTATGTGCCGCGAATCACAGTGTACAATATGCGGAGGACGTTCGTGGTGGGGCAGATGTCATCTACACATTAAGCAGGTCATGGACAATATACCGTTAGAGGAGTGGTGCACCTGTACCCCCAAAACACCGGCTCTAGTCATGCAAAATGGCGTCAAAGTACCTGTAGGAGAACCTATATACCCTCCGATTACTACAACCGAACCACTAAAACAATAATATTCCGATACATATACATAATAGAAAAAAAACATATATCATATGTACTTAACAAGCAGCTATTGGTTGGGTGTCTATCACACTAATCAATGTGGCGGTTCTATCATATGTCAGTAACAGTCTAGAGTTCACATAATATTGCAGCCCATACCTCCCTTAGGCGGATACTTTGACCCGCCCTTGTCGCAAGAACACCATTCTTTAGGATCGATGTTATCCATGACCGATGGAATGTGCTGACCACATCCATACCAGGTCTTACCTTTGCATTTTCCACAGGTTGTTTCCATACACATGATGTCGCAAGCTAACTTTGTATTCTTCGTAAAGCCTTGGTGTTGCAGATCGCAATTCCTGAAAGAATCCAACTAGCAATTTCTCAGCACTAGAATTTTTCTGTACTAGAATTACTAGATCTCAGCAGTTTCCTCCCTGAATCTCCCTTTTATATTAATATACATGCGGGATTACTGCCATTCCCCTCGGCTTTTGATTTCGAATGCCGTTCCCGAAACAGGCCATTCGCCTTTACCGGCAAACACGCCTCGCTGATTCTCAAACCATTGCTATTGATTAAAATTAAGACCTCCCCTAAATAATATAAACTAACTCCTGCATTTATATAGTGCTCGCTTCCTGCACCTTGGTGGTTCGATCTGATCTACCTCACACAGAAGCTGACACCCATAGCCTTATAAAATCGCACACATTACGCGCCCAAAAAAGGGCCCTTATACAATATAATGAATTATAAAATCAAAAACTTTACTATGAATACAGTATAATGCATCTATCTGTTACCTATAAAAAAAAATAATTATGAGCTGAAGGGGAGTCGAACCCCTGTCACTTGCTTGGAAGGCAAGTATGATCACCGCTACACTATCAGCCCTTCAGGTTATAACAACTACTCACAACCGGTATATAACGATAAAATTAGTATTTACTTTGAAGCAATTACTGGAAATTATAGCTACTACGTATTGTTTTCAGATATATTAGATAAGTGAATATAATAAAAACGATATAAATACAGACTGATAAGAGATTAAAGTATATGCGGTAAAGGAGATATCATCAAACCGCTTGTGGAAGAATAGGCAATACTAATGCATGATAAACATCAACCGGGACAGTAGCCATAAGTGTGCTCAGGAGGATCTCAAAAGTTATATCAGCCATCCTTGAATATCCTCTTAGGAAATTAATATATTGAATCAGGTTGCTGATCTGTAAATGCGTCAGCTCAAGCTCCGAAGGGAAACCGTGTCCTAGCGGTTCCTGATTAGATATTATTACACAATATCGCAACAGCATCATAAAAGCAGCTATACTACTGCAAAGAACTGAGTTGTGTGTGATTCGGAATTCCAGACTGGCCACGATATGGGAAATATTGTAGGCAGCTTCAACGCATTTTCGCATGTTTTGAGTCTTTTCTAGCTCTGTCAGTACAGGCTGCACGTTCATTCCTTTCACTACACCAAAAGCATTGAGTTCCGGAATGCCAGATTCGCGCAGTTTAGATAGCGGTTGGTATGTGAATAGTATGCAGTTATTCAGAATAAGATTGCTGTGCAGCACACCGTAATCAATCTCGCCTGAAGGATTAATCAGTGGAGGGTGTAAGCTATTAGGGTTCTGAAGCTGATCGCGGCATTGCATGAGCAATGAGTCCAGTTTATGCAGCTCGCTCTTTGAAACCTGTTCTCGCAAACATAATTCAATAGCTCGACGGCAAGTCAGTGCAACATCTTGCTGTAAGCGACACGAACGATATGGAAAGTCAAAAGCGGGGTAGTCCGATAATAAGGAATTTGGTAATGATGGCTCCACGCGATAGAAGTATACATTAATTGTGTCCAATGTGAACGCCTCAAGGATGATCAATGTCAAGGTAACTTGGAGGTCTTCTGGCGATATCATAGCCACGCGCGGGGAAAATATAAGTTCTGAAGGGACATTCAATAATTCCATTATATTCTTTCGCAAAAAGACGTTTAAAGGCGTTAGAAACTTCAACTGCGCGGCTAACAGGTAGATAAAAGTGGTCTGCAAAGTCACTATGTCAGCGGGGGCGTTCTGTTTATATAGAGAATTGGATAGCTCATTAATGATGTTTTCGGCGTATAGATCTGCGTCTTCTCCTATTTCTTCATTCGAGTAAAGGAACCTTAATGCGGAAGATATCTCAGGCCAGATGTGCATATTAGCGAGAGTAGCGTCTCGGGTAGAGAAGAGGATCGGCAAAAACGGCTGAATGTGGTCATAGTAATAGATTACTAGATCAGAGTCTATGACCAGGTTTGACTGTTTGTCTCTTATTTCAGATTGTGGCGGGATCGCCATAGCGTTTCTAAGTTTCATTCGGGGAGTGAGTTTCTCTGCAGTCGAATGGCCTTCAGGAGGGAGTACGAACGAGTGTTGTTTGCCGTGAGAATCCAAAGACTGGGTTGTCGAGGTGGAGACGGACGAACCTACCATTGAAGCTATTTCGTTTTCTTCGTTTTCTTGATCGAAGCTTTGTTTCTTCACGAAGAAAATTGGTTGCTGATCTCTGGGAGGCTCAGCTGGCTGGCGTTTGCCTCCTCTGCGGCTCTTAACGTAAACGCAGTCGACGTTACCTCTCCTAACACATGGCCCACAACTTGGTTCTACTGAATCGCATTTGCCGTGAAGTCTTCTGCAAGGCAGACATGCTCTTGTAGCGATTTTTCGGACTGGGGGTGGAGAAGGGTCGGCCATGATTGGCGAAGTTAAAGAGCAGCGTTCGCGGATAGTGGCAGTAAAGTCGCGGGGGTAGCGGGCCAGGGAAAATGAAAATACAGCAGAAGGGAGCCGGCCTGGGTCTTCTGCGTTGATTGCCCAGCCAAGAGTAAGACTGCTGGCTCGCGAGACTGGGTCCAGGGAGGTGCTATTTATGGTGGGTTTCCAGTTCGGTTTTGTATAGTGGCTCGAGCAGTAGCAGGACGACCAGAATCGAGGTTTCTGGAGTTCAGGCTAAAGCGGATGAAGGCGCAAAGCAAGTTTGTTTAAATAATATACACTATAGTAGTGAAATCAGTGTGACAATAATAGTGCGTGAGATGGAGGGTGTTAATGAGGGTGATTTTCTTGTGCCAAAACTCTTAAATGGCTTCACGCCAAATGGGATGGAGGATCGGATTAAGTTTTCTATAAGGATAAATTAAGGTTCGTCAACTATAAGACTTGAGATATTTGTGCAGTAACCGAGGTCCAGAGTAAGTATTGCAACGTGGTGTCGACGATTCTTATTCTGTTATTATTTATTTATTTTTCAGCACGTGGAGACATCACATATTCGATTCAAGGTTTCATGGCTGTGAACGAATAGTACGGCTGTAGTTTCTGGGCCAGAGCTGGTGCATAAACCTTTTGAGGCTAAGATTGTCGGTTCGCGATGAAGAAGCTTTTTCTTGGTGAGAATGCTTGGTGAGAATGCTAATAGTAATTAACCCATACAACGTATGCAAAGTTCGCCAGATCGCAAGATATTTTGGTTTGAGTAAAAACAGCAATCGCGACCGCTATCGAACATTCAGCGAAATGGTTTCTCTTAGATACAGTGTGCGCGCATAAGTGCAGTGCCGTCGAATGATGTCACTGCTCAAAGACGGTTGAACTGCTAAACTCTATTGCTGAGAGAATTATTGCGCGCGTGATACATCGTTTAAATTATTGCTGTGAAAAAATTTATTGTACTGGTAAGGATCGGTATTGTGTTAAGCTAATTGCTCAACCAACTAGTCCACGTGTACAATAACGCTTTCCGCAGAAAATCTAAGAGCCGTTTAACAAGTATCACAAGTTGCTGTCGCTTGAAATGTAGTTTGGCGTGAATGTTTTTCTTTTACAATATTTGATACAGAGCGGCAAATCGAACAATCGATGATTATCAATAACCTGTGATAATCGTAAAAAATGGCCGTAAATGGAATATTACAGTCACCGCGCTGTTCGACATGCTGTCGCTACCTATTCAACAGGTTCACGCCTTATAGACGGTCCACACAACGCACAAATCGTCTTACTTTCTCTCTCCGTACAATCTACATCATTCTATTGAATTTACAAAGCCTACAACTCTTGTAAAGCCTCTGTTCGCCGTTCATTTCGATTATTACCCTTTTCGATTCCTTTTGGTTGGCCGAAAGATTGTTCAAGCCGCACTTTCCATTTACATTGGGTATTACCATATCGGGCAACCAATAAACACCTACTACCAAGCCTGATATATCTATCCATCTTTTTCGATCGCAACAAATTGCTTGATAAAACCTTTCTGAGCATAAGGGTCTGTTATTATTGTAATAAAATTGCGCAAGAGCTGTCCAGCGATTCGTCATAACCGTTTTTCAAAGGCATTTTCCCGCACCAGACCCTTAAAGAATGCCATTCAGCGCCAGCCCCAGACGATGGTACGAGGATGTCAATGAGCCACAAAGCCCCTTAACTACCATAGACTCAGACATGAGCGCGCTCCAGGACATCCCTTCTATCTCTCCTGAATCCCACAGAAGACTCTTGCCTTCTGCCGCTTCGTTCCAGTACTCGCCCGCCTCGTCCATCTATAACCCCTGCGCGAACTTCAGCCGGCCTAACTCCACGTCTCCCGTAAGATCTCCAAGCCCTTTAAGGCGCCAGTACTCTAACTCCAATACGCGATTTCTAAACCAGCCTGACTTTGGCTACCAATACCGCAACATTCCAGAAGACATGCCACGCAACGACACATCGCCCAATGCCGATCACAGGTACCAGCTGCAAGAGTCCTTTGCTTCTGATGACTATTCTGAGCTAGACGTCAGTATCGCAGACCAGTACGAGTTTGGAGCTAACCGCAAGGAAATACTCACAGAATCACATCTCAAACGGTTCAGTACTATGCGGCGATCCGACTCAAATGCTTCGCTTGACGCTTCAGACTACGATGGCATCGACAACTTCAACGACCAATGGGTCAAACGTCAAAATGGTACCACGCTTAAACGCTACGGCACTAGAAAAGTGTCCCTTGTCAAAGGAAAGGTTTTCTCTGCAGAGTACGCTGTACCTTCTGCGATCAAGAATGCCATTCTGCCGAAATTCAGAGACATCGAAGCAGATACCACTGAGTTCTCTCATATCAGATACACTGCCGCAACTTGTGATCCCGACGAGTTCTCTGTATCTGCGGGGTACTCTCTCCGTCCTCTAGACTACGGTAGGTCTACTGAGTTAGTCATCGCGATCACCTACTATAATGAAGACAAATCACTTGTTGCTCGCAGTTTGCATGGAGTCATGACAAACATTAGAGATATCTGTAAGCTGAAAAAGTCCGAGTTTTGGAACAATAACGGTCCTGCATGGCAAAAGATTGTCGTCACCCTCCTGTTTGATGGCATAGACCCTTGCGATAAGGAAACTCTCGATATTCTGGCTACTATTGGTGTGTACCAAGATGGAGTGATGAAGAAGACCATTGACGGCGAGGAAACAACCGCGCATATCTTTGAATACACTACTCAACTGTCGGTTACTTCTGACATGGAACTAGTTTGTCCTGACGAGTCCGACTCTAACTGCTTGATGCCCGTACAAATGGTATTTTGCTTCAAACAGAAGAACTCAAAGAAAATCAACTCGCATCGCTGGCTGTTTAATGCATTCTGCAAGCTCCTGCAACCAGAGGTCGTCATTCTTCTTGACGCAGGAACGAAACCAAATAACAAATCTATCTTGGCCCTGTGGACCGCTTTCTATAATGACCCGAATCTCGGCGGCGCGTGTGGTGAAATCCACGCAATGCTGGGCAAGCACGGCAGGAACCTACTGAACCCCATTGTCGCAGCACAGAACTTTGAATATAAGATCTCTAACATTCTCGAC